TAGCGTTCGAGTGGGGGCCCTCCGACGTTCGTGGAGGATCTTGGCGTCGGTCGTCTTCGGCAACTCCACCTCCAGGGGTTGCCGCGCCTAGTTTCCCCGGCGAGGAGCGAGGGGCGACAGGCTTTCACGTCGGGGTCGGTGCATCGGCGAAGCTGGACGTCGTGGCGACGGCGACCGGAACTCTCGGCGGGACGTAGGCTCGGGGGACTGAGGTCGTCGCAGGTACTCGTCGATCTCCCGAGGGCGTTCACCATAACGGGGTCGCGGGTCGTTCGGGTGGAACCCGCGAAGCCCGAGTCGTCGGTATGGGCATCGGCGGTAGGTGTGGTCCGCTTCCCCGCAATGGAAGCACAGAGGGCGTCGGTCGGGCGTTCGCCACACGTCGGTCTTGCGGGGTGCGTGAGGCTCCGGGCAGGCGTACTGGACCTGGTCGTCGTGGTGTCGGTCGTGCTGCGGCGCAGGAGACTGACGTCGGGGCGGCGCGACATAGGTGCGACGAGGAGGAGGCGGTGGCCGTCGAGCCACTGCGGCGTAAGTCAACGTGGGCTCCTCGGGGGCTGCCACGACGACGGGAGCCTCTTTCTGGAAGGTTCTCTGGACTTCTTCCCGCACAACCTCGGCGATGGAGAGTGAGGCCGGGCGTACTGCAGCGGGCAGGAGCTTCTTGAGTTCCTCCTGGACGACTTCACGGATAATTTCACGGATGCCGGGGAGGGTGGTGCCAAGGTCGGATCCGGATGTCGCCAGAGTGGTTACGCCGGGGTGTCGCTGGTAGTGTCTGGCGCGTGCTTGTAGGGCCCGTTCCATATTCGTCGCCTCCGTGACGAACCCGTCGACGGTTGTCGGGGGATTGCGAATGAGGCCGCCGAATATCTCACTTTCACACCCCTCATCAAGTGGTGCAGCTTCTTCTCCTCGGTAGCCTGAGGATCGGCGCGGGCGCTCAGGCGGAGAACATCCTCAACGAAGCTGGTGACGCTCTCATGTAGGTCTTGGGTCCTTGTTCGCAGGAGATCTTCGGCCCTCTCACGTCGGTGTTGGCAGGCAAACGTCTTCTTTAATTCTTGCTTGCACACCTCCCACGACGTCAAAGAAGCCTCGTGGTTTTCCAACCAGTGCCTCGCAGTTCCTTCCATCGAAAAGTAAAGGTTCTGCAAGCAGTGCTCGGCTGACCACCCGTTATGACGGGCCACCCGTTCATAGTGTTGCAGCCAGTCCTCGATGTCCTCGTGTGCGTCTCCGTGGTACGGCGTCGGAGTTTTTGGTGCGACGGGCAGGTATACGACGGCAGGAGCAGCCGGGGCCTGCGCCTGGTCGGCCATCGTCGTCTTCTTCGGCTTGGGCTTGTCCAGTAGCAAACCGTATTCAGGATCCTCTCCCTTGATGCGCCGGCTGGTCCGAGTTTCGGGTTCCGCGGGGAGTGGTCTTCTCACTGGGCTTGGTACCGGACTTGCACTGCGGGATCTTGGAGGGGAACGCTGTACAGGCATGCGGTACCCCGCACCTCCACCAAAATGTCACGAGTGGTGACCAGAATAACAATAAATAAACAGGAAGAACTAAAGGTTTAATGTGGCGAACTTGTGCCAAAACAAAAAGAGAATAGAAAATAATAACAAAGCGTCGCGAGCGTCGAGGTCGGCGAGACAGCAGAGTCGAGCGCTGGGGCGAAACTGACTCGACAAGGTAGCGGGTGGCCTCTTATCTAGAGTGAGTCACTATCTCGAGCGTAGCGCGCTCGGGGCAAGAATGAACAAGCACTTTCTAGAACAAAAAACAAGGATGAACGATAGTTATGTCCGCAGCAAGAATGAACGAGAACTTTCTACAAGTCCGTGACCCTGCGCGCGGCAATATCACGAATAAAAGAACTACATTAAGGACGCGTTTGGTACTTATATTAGTGAAAAAAGCACTTATAAGCAAATGTAGGACATCGTTTTCTTTCTTGCCGACAAGTTTCGTTTTTTTTTTTTCAGCAAAATAGCTGTTAGATGCGCGCACAATGTCATTTTGTGTTTTGAGGATATTAGGCTTAGGTGGACGTCGGCTCATAAAGAAATTTAGTTTTTCTAAATGATCCTCTTATCCAGGTAACGTCACGTTCTTAAACCTTCGCGTTGTATCCAAATTGCTTGCGTCAGATTTTCATTGAGTTTGTGCTTTCGGTGTTGTATATTTTATTTACCGAGGCCGAAAAAGACGGTTTCCTTTTCTTAAGAGTTATGTGTACTGTTTTTCTGCGAATTTTGTTTTGGTTGGTGCACATTTATTGGAATAAAACCACTACGAATATTTAATGAGCTAGTCCCTATGTTTTTTTTTTTAGAAGTTGCACGAAAATGGGCGTCTTTGCAATAAGTGAGTGTTATCAAACTTGAAAACCATATGAGTCATACTATTTTAGTTATAAAACGAAATACTAGTGACTTGTCCACATATTGCCAAAAAAGCGTGTAACCTTCGTCTTTAGACTATCTTTTTCATTCCCATTGCAATTTCTCGGCATGCAATTTTGCCAGCCCGGATCTGGAGGCCCCTGATGGTTCACAACGTATACTTGAATTCATATATAGGATGGTCCAAGTCACCAGGCTCGATCTCAAATGGACCGTAAAACTCGACGCCTGCACTAGCCATCTAAAATTTTCATCAAATGTGTATTTCACAGGTCGTTTGTTTCTTGTAAAATTAGAAAGCATAGCTCTCTTTCTGTAAGAAATAGGGCCAAGAAACTTGCCAAGGTCTACGGCAAGCGGCGACCCAGACTACCAAGTTCAGCAGCGGGGTCTGTTTGGCGTTCGCATTGATAGATGGCGTCCGCATTGGTAGATGGCGTCGGGAGCAGCGTCTGAAGGTGCAGACGACCAGAGAAACAAAGCAGACGACACGCAGACGAAATCCGTTGGCAGCAAAAGCGCCACCGTTATGCCGACGCGTTTCTTTACTTTAAGTTTTGCCTTTATTGTCTGAATTTATTTTTTCACCGAAGGTAAATTTTTAAGAAATATTATTTTAATTTTAAGAAACCACGGTGTTCGCGAGCCGTCACGGTAAGGAGGTAGCGCCATCTATATTACAAACGCCAAACACACCCCGCTAGTGGACCCCTGTCGTCTGCGTCGCTGCCCGCCGCAGACCCTGGCACGTTTCTTGGCCTTATTTTTTTACAGAAAGATAGCTGCGCTTTTTAATTTTACAAGAAAAGAACGACCTGTGAAATACACCTTTGACGAAAAGTTTAGACTCCTAAATGCAGGCGTAAATTTTTACGGTTCATTTTAGATCGAGCCTGGTGACTTGGACCGCCTTATATATTGCTTGACCCAAAAGTAGCAAGAGGTTAATATGGTCTGATTCTTTTATATCGATAATGTGATGCAGCATGCAGAGAGAAAAATTGCTTTTTCATTTGTAGTATTATTAGAAAATAAATAAGGTGGAGAAAAATGTACTAGAGTGACGCTCTTAGTTGATACTATTGGAATATTGTGAACATCATTATTTACTTTAACAAATTTTCAACGTATTCTTTCAGGAATGATTTACGACCTTCATAAAGTGAGCACTTGCAAAGCTATCGCTTGAGTGTAATAGTACATAAAGATTATTCAACCCAGCCTTGAAATTTTTTGAATTTTTTTTAAACTCTGTGAGATAAGACTAACTTACTTCGCTTCAAGCAAGCCGGCCCTGTTCTCGTATGTGATTGTAGCAACTTACAGCAAGGGCAAAAAATAGTGCAAAACGTTTAAACAAAAACATGCTAATTTTTGCATTGCAATAAAAAAAACTAGAAAAAAAACAGGTATGGCTGCTCATTAGCCTTTTTTTTTGGCACTAGCGACGTTTTTGTTTTTTTTATTGTAATATTTAATTGCTGTCAATAGTTTCGATAACGGGCCGTCAAAAAGAAAAACTTTGTTCTTTTGTAAACACAGGCCATCCTCAATTTCCAGCGCTGTAAGCATAGTGCTTATTCTTGACATCTTCTTGAAGAATCATACTTATTCTTGACCCCACGAGTCCCCCAATTCTATGTTTACGATGCATTTGCTTTTCACAGAAAGGTTCAAACCTGTGAAGTAAGAATGAAGCATAATGTGAGATCATCAGGCTAATTAGCGGTGCTGCTTCTTACAACCGGCCTTGTTGGCTTGAAGTTGGCATAGCCTGCATTCCAACGGGCGAGTAAACTGGAGCTAAAGTTTCAATTGACTGGTCCGTTTCGACGCCGCATTTTCTTTGCCTACACTTCGCAAGTTTGCGCGTGACGTTAAACGCAGGGGCTTCGTGTTTGAGATTTTGACGTTTAATAATTTTAATTTTTGCTTTTGGTTATTTTATTTTTTACTAGACTTATCGGGATAGCATCCCCTTCAAGTTTAGCAGGAATCGAACAAAAGTCCATTGAGCGATCCATTGTCTATAGCCGGTACGCGATCTGCAAAAGCGTCATTTTCTGAACGATGCCCAATGTTCCCTGGCATGTCTCGTCGCTAAATGTAGCGTGATAGCGTCCCTGTCAAATATAGTGGCCACCGAACATAGATCCCTCCTGCAATCCACCGTCTTTAGCCGATATAAACCATAGATTGGGGGATCGGTGTCCGAGTGGGCTAGCGCACACCAGCTCGGAGCACGTGGAGCGAAAGCTCGCGCTGCAGAACCTAGGGATCCTGGGTTCAATCCCCACCCGTGCTCGCTTCGATCTGGATGGGCATCGTACCGGCATGCGGTACTGTGTGCTGCACGTTAAAGACCTCCAGGCTAGCGGTTGTACTGCAGTGGCTAAATTTATAATCTACAGCTGAGAGACAAGCCGCCCGTTTAGGCAGTCTGAGTTCAAGCTGTATGAATATACCCCCCCCCCTCCCCCCAACTTAAACCGTAGATTTATTTTTAATCGGTTTCTGAGTGTTTGGTGAGATGTATCGCGGAGACTGAGAGAGGGTTTGGGTCCTGGTATGCGTCGTCGACGCACATCGTTGGCGACTTACCGTTGACGACGTGCACGCTTATGCTGACCGGCTCCGCATTGGCCGGGTCGCAGGTGTAGTTGCCGGAGTCCAAGGAGACGGCCTTTCGTATGTACAGCCTGCTCACTGTCTTCTCTGGCCCGCCCTTGTGCAGGCTGATTTCTCCCTTGGCCGATACGTAGTTGATCATGCGGTCGTTGTGGTACCAGAACACGAAATGTGGCGGCTCCGGGCTCTGGCTGATCTCGCACGTCAGGTTGATGGAGCTGCCGGTGCGGATGAACAGGTCCGGGCCGCCCTCCACCACCGCCTTGGCCACTGCGAAGACAAATAAACAAAGATTTTTTTTATTGGGTTGCTTGTAATTTTTTGATAAATTGAGAACAACAGGGAGGCTTTTTCGAACGCCCGACCTCTAGCACACGCTCGTCGATTTTACCATGTTTCGACTTTGAGTGCATGCTCGAGGCTTATGAGACGCTGAAGCGTCAATCAATGCGAGAACCTTGCGTTGGAGGTAAGACAACTGAATGTGCTCGCATGGCCTCCTCTGTACTCACAGAGCCTGGCAGCTCGACGATGGAGCCATAGAGTGCCTTGTCGCAGATTTGGAGTGCGATGATCTGGTAGCAAACATCATCAAAGAGCCATTTCTCGGGGAACCTGGACGTCATCGCATAGCTCTGGCAGCTGCGAGGTCCCGAAACACGCTTGTTCGCTCGGGAGAAGTGTGTTTTGGCGTATCTCCGCAGCGGGGCGCCAGTCACGTGGCTCTCCTCTCATCCATTGTCTGCCGCTCTAACTTTTCCATTTCGACGGCCACTTCTCGTGGCAATCTGCCAGGCTTTGTCAGTATATAGGAGGCTGTCGTACTCCTTACCGTTCTCATTTTGTGAGTGTCTACATTTTTTTTGCTGAGACAAGTTTATGTACACTTGTCCAAAAAATAATAGTAGCAAGAGCTATCGCTGTAAACTGTCATTATTAGCTAGATTCCCAGCGTCTGCCTTTCCTATTTAAGTCGTCATTTAACCTGCAAACATTGATGTAATCATTACCACACCTTGGTTGTTGCGAAAATGTGCTCGATGAGAAGGTCGGAAATTTGGCCTCAAAAACTTGAAAAGATACATCGATATAAGCTATATAAAAAGTAGCATCGACATCTTGCACTGTGATCTATATTACCATGAGCTCAATTCCTCGGGCCCGCCTGCAAGTACTGATGAGCTGAATTTTTTTTTTTCAAGACTCGTGCAAGTATTACACGCCTTGCTTTCTACGGAGACGGTGCGGTGACGAATTCTAAGTTTTGCCCTAAACTCCTTTTGAGAAGATAAGTTCATGTATGATCTCTCAAAGGAAGCCACGAGAGCTAGAGCTGCAAACTATGATATTATTTATTTATTTATTACATGTACCCCACAGCGCCCGTGAAGGCATTATAGTGGGGGAGGGGCAAAAAGAAGAAAAACAAAGGGCGTCACAGAACATTAAGTAAAAGCACTCGCAGCCTGCAGCAAGGCATAGAACAACATGAAACTAGCCCTGCGAAAATGTAACGCAGAGAAACGCGCTCATTGTTGCACCAATATACACGTAGCAAGGAATAACACATAACGAAGACAGCATACATTGAGTGCTAAAGGTCAAGCAGAGCTTGAAAAATGTTTGAGTTGTTTTTCTCTAACACTAATTCCTCCGGTAATTCATTCCAGCTCTGAATAGTGCTCGGGAAGAAAGAATGTTTAAAAATGTCAGTTTTGGATGAGAAAGGTCTAATTTTCCTCGAGTGATCACGTCTTTGGGAAATGAAATGTGGTTCAAGTAAGTATGTTCCTTTATCAATTCCAGAGAGTTCGTAATGGATCGCGTGTAGTAGTTTTAATCGAAGGCATTTACGGCGAGTTTGGAGAAGCTCCCACTTGAGCTCCTCTTTTAAGGCGGTCACGCTTTGACGCCAATTATAGGAGTTAAGAACGAACCTGGCAGACCTATTCTGAATACTTTCTATGTCGTTTATGAGGTACTGTTGGTAAGGGCCCCATAGCTCGGAGGCATATTCAAGAATCGGCCTGATGTTAGTGAGGTAAAGGGTATTTTTTACTTCGCGTGGGCAATCTTTGAAGTTACGCCTGATGAAACCTAACATCCGGTTTGCCTTAGCTGTCATCTGTTCTATGTGGTGATTCCACGAAAGATTATGAGAGAAGTAGACGCCCAGGTATTTTACTTTGAGTGACAAGTTGATTACAATGCTGTTTATATTGCACGTGATAATTACAGGTTTTTGTTTCTTCGTGAACCTCACAAAGTGACATTTCGCTACATTAAATTCCTTTCCCCAAGTGAAGCACTAGCTCGCTATACGATCGATGTCCTCCTGGAAGGCAGCACATTCATCGGAATCTCTTACCGCGCGATAAATAACACAGTCATCTGCATACAACCGTATAGAAGATGAAACGTTTTCAACAATGTCATTAATAAATATCAAAAATAGAAGCGGTCCCAACACGGAGCCCTGGGGCACACCGGAGGTAACTGGGGTAGAATCGGACAATCTCCCGTTAATTACCACTGCTTGAGTCCTAGATCTAAGATAGTCAACGAGCCATCCAGAAACGTTAGGAGATATTTTGAGGGCTGATAATTTATAGAGAATAAATTTGTGTGGTACAAGATCAAAGGCCTTCCGAAAGTCAAGAAAAATACAGTCTGTCTGAAGGCCCTTGTCATATGCTTGTGCCAATTCGTGAAAAAATTCTACCATCTGGGTTGTACAAGACAATCCCGGACGAAATCCATGTTGGAAAGGGGTGAAGAAATTGTTAGCGTTTAAATGCTGTACAATGCTGGTGTAAATGACGTGCTCCATCAGTTTGGAGGACGTGCTAAGGAGCGAGATAGGCCTATAATTTTCTACTTTGTTTCTGGGACCATTTTTATGTACCGGCACTACATATGCTTCTTTCCAAGCGCTAGGCAAAGTACAATCAGAGAGTGATTTAGTGAACAAGACATATAAAAACATTGAAATCACACCTGAACATTCTCTGAGAACCCTATTTGGTATGCCATCAGGACCAGTTGATTTATTGGGGTTAAGTGATTGTAGAAGTTTCACTAGACCATCAGAGTTAAGCACAAGTTCCTTCATATCGTGTAACGGGGTGGCGGTAGGGGCCATAGCGGGACAATCATTTGAGCCAGGAGATGGAGAAAATACCGACTGGAAGTAACTACTGAAACAAGTTGCCTTCTCCTGGCCATCGTGCAGGGTCTGACCAGATACATCAATCGGCGGGATACCAACTTGGTCCTTCTTGTTGCTCTTTACCAACTTCCAGAATTCTTTGGGACTTCTCTTTATGCGGTCACTTAGAGTGCTATGAAAAATCCTCTTAGCGATTTTTAGTTTGACTTTAAATAGTTTCCCTAGGTTACGTAACCTTGCCAGTGACGCTGCATTAGACGTTCTGCGATATGTTAGATATGCACGTTGCTTCTTATGTAATAAACGGCGCAGATTTTTATCTATCCATGGTTTGTGGTTTCGCTTCTTGGGTCTAATTACTTTGTTCGGAATATAGGTGTCCATTAGAGCTATGAGCTTAAACCTAAAGAGTTTCCACAAATTGTCAACATCCATCTCGTAGGAGCTCATTTCAAATTCGGCAAAAAAGTCGAACAATTCATCTGCAAGATCAGCATAGTTTCCCTGGTTATAAAAATGTACTTTCCGTGGGCATGGTCGTACCGCCATAACACGCTTGCACCTCACTCTTGCAGTTACTATGTCATGATCACTGATTCCTGGAAGGTGGGTGACTGAGGATATAGCTGTCTGGGAATTACAAAAAAGAAGGTCAAGCGTGCTCGACCGCCTCGAGTCAGGTCGGGTCGGTTCCGTAACGTGTTGAATCAGTCCAAAACTTAAAACAAGATGGGAAAATGTGGAGTACAATACTGAAGAGTTGCAGTCAGTAACTTGGCCATCACGCCAGGTAACATCAGGGAGGTTAAAATCGCCCCCGAATACTAGGTAATCACTTGCAATAGAGGATAGTATTTCGGATAAGTACATTAGTGACTCATTGTTTGATCCAGGTGGCCGGTAATATGAACCAACAGCTAGAGTCTCTCCAGAGGACAGATAAATTTTACACCAGACAGATTCACAAGTTGGGCGGGATACATTTAATTCCGAGCTCTGAAGGGCACTGGAGACTAGAACAAAGACGCCGCCTCCATGCGTATTTCTATCTTTGCGATAGGCAACATACTGCTCAGGGAAGATCTCAGCGTCACTTATAGCCTCTGATAACCAAGATTCGGTACCTATTACAATGGACGGTTCTGTTGTTGATACAAGTTCTGCAAACTCATCGATTTTGTTTTTTATGCTCCGACAGTTGATTAGAAGTACATCGAGGTTCGACTGGTTAGCTCTTAACTTTAGCCTTTTCCTCGGAACTAGTTATGCGCTTCCCTGTAGTGCGGGTGCAGAGTTTTGTAATTTAATTCGGCGTTGTGTTGTTTCATCCCACGTAAATGCTTCACCATTTATAAATAACTTGTCGTACCGTAAGAAGACTTTATCATCTGATGTACGTGTGCCCTTTATACTGTCCCAGAGTTGACTACGCACAAGCTGAACCCTACGGGAAAAATCCTCGGATAGGAATATTCTCGTACCCTTAAGCCTACGTGAATTGCGGAGCAGGTTTAGTTTTTCATTAAAGTCATAGAGTCGCAAGATCACATGTCGTGGCCTGCGATCATCAGCTCTCCCAATCCTGTGAATACGCTCGACGCTGGTAACTTTAAGTCCTAGCTTGTTCTCAAAAATTTCGGTAAGCACCAGTCCTTTCAGCGATTCTGTATTTTCATCTTGAGACTCTTCAATTCCGTGGATGATTATATTATTTCGCCTTCCTCTGTTTTCCAGGTCGTCAACTTTTTCCGTTAATGCCGCTACAATATCCTGGAGTTGCCTTACGTTCTTATCACACTGCTCTGCCTGTAAGTTCAATTTTTCAGTTCTGCATTTTGTGCTGGGCGGATGTCCTATCTTCAAACATCTGTATTTAATCATTATCACGCCTTAGCCACTCTGAAGACCGGTGCGGAGAGAAAGTCGCAGATTTCACCTTACCAGCTTTTGCCAAGCTACGTTCTTTTTTACAGTTTCAAAAGTGTCAGCGATAGGCAAGGCTGTGGAGTATGATAGTATTAGCTAACTTCTCTACATTAGAAATCCTGCTACTGCACTCAGTGGCATATAAAATTATTTTAACGAGGTCGGAGCCCGAAGATAATAAAGTATAACGCATGTTGTGGAAAATGATGGACGTCTTAATACATCATTAATATGTCTCTGAGGTCATCACAACTCTCAAATCTAACTCCACGTTTTGTTTTCCTCTCCTCTCACGACGCTCTTGTTTTTGCTGTAAACAAGGACGAAAAACAAAATGTTACGGACGATGCAAGGTTATTCCCATTGCACACTCACTTGCATGTGCCTTCCAACAGCTGGAGCAAACAATTCATTAATAATGGCTCCTAATTTTCGTGGGCCTTATTTTCCGGTTGGGGTGCCTTCTCCGCCAAGCCTCTCGAACAGACAAAACACAAGTAAACTCAGTAACTCGAAAGACGAAACGACAAAGTCAAACGGCCTAACGAAGCCGCCCACCGCAAACTAGAAAAAAAAAAAGAAATCCACGAGCACTCATTAAGCAATTGTACGCCGTCCCCATTGCCGTGCGAGACCTTTCTGCCACGATCGTGCAATGAACTTACCGCCGCAGCAGCCCACCCTAATGCCGACGAAACGAAGCCGGCCTTCCTCCGCCGAAAGTGCCACCGAAGCCACGGCAACCTCCCCGATAGCCATTGGTAAAAAAGAAGGGTTCGGCCGTGCCCGCAGCGCGGCTAATATTGCTAATGAACCAGCGGCAGCTTTGTTTTCCTTTGGACCATCTCCGAGGCCGTTTGTTGGGGATGCGACCGAGTCGCTCCTTCGCTGGTTACGGCTTCTACCATGTAGCGGAGGCCGAAACTGCTCTCTCTATATATATATATTTTTTTCTTTATTTCTCTGTTGTGGGCAGCGGTTGGAGTGCCCCCAGGCGTGTGTTTCAGAACGAATACAAACATATCTGAGCGAACGTGGCGCCTACTAGGGGTATTTGCCTTGACGAAGGAAGTAAGATCAAACGCGGAAGCCTCAAAAAAGTCTGGTTCAGACGCTTGTCAGCTGATATGTGACGATATTGGCGGGAACAAGAGAAAAGGAGAAACATCCGCCATATTTTGGAGTTCATATATCTTTAGTTCTTTCCATTTCAGAACGAGGAGTTTCGGTGGCAGAGTACGTACTTATGGTAGAAGCGCTGTGTATCGTTTTTGTTTTCTTTTGTCGCGTCTTGAGAGCCTGTGTATCAGCTTAACCAGCTTCTCAACGTACACTAGTACTCCAGCTTCGCATGCAGTCACTTAGAGGAATACTACATTTTTTATAGTAATTATGCTAGAAAATAAAGTGGATGTCGTCAAAACCCGCAACATTATATGAACGAGAGAAAATTCACTGCTTTGGGAGTGAATGTTTTCTCACATTCTTGCATGAATCATACACGATGTGATACAATTTAGAAGTTAATTTATATATGATTGTTGTATTTTTTTTAAAGGTTGTCCAACTACTGGTGTTGACTCTGCCTCATGCGCGGTTACTTTAAAGCAGTTAAAATCACACATTTTCAATATTGAACTGCACTATCGTGTAAACAACGTAAAAGGCTTGCGCAGTGCATCTTTATCTTCGGCTAGATGCCCCCTGCGCACTAGATGCCTCCTGCTGCACTAGATGCCTCCTGCTCACAGGAGACATCTAGCATGCTTGATATATTTCGCTCCAATAGCCAGCCCGCGATACTTGACGCTCGTCGCGCAAATGACGCAATTTCATAGTTTTGGTTTCATAGTTTTGATGTCATAGTTTCGTAGTTTTGATATCCGATCTTGTAAGGGAGGGACGTTGAAATCACAGTCAATTGGTTCGCTGTGGCATAGAAATAATATTCGTGAACGCAGAAGAAACGGCGACACTGAAATAGAGGCTCCTGTACTGTGTAAGGGGTTGGCTGCCTCTTTTGCTGTGCAACGAACATAGATTTCACTGAGAGGAGATATGGCTTCATTTCTTTTTGAAAACAAAGAAATTGGTTCGCTCTAAAACGTTAAAAATAGAGGACTTGTGATGCTTTCTAGAAACCTGCTAAAACGAAATTCCGATGCTCCCATACAGAACAGCTTAGGGCAATCTTTTCGTGACCCTAAAAAGGCAAAGAGCGCGGATTTAAAGCTGTACAAAGTGTATGACCGATCCAGGCTGAACCGAAAAGTATAAATGTGAAACAGCATTTATGAAGGTGTTTTTGAAGGTGATCAATGGTTTAACCATAACTATAGTGTCTAAAACGCGCATCCGACTGGTCTTATACATGGTTAAAGTCAGCGAGCAACGTGAGGAATCTCTAGAAGAATACTGAAGACAGGACAGACGCTGAACTCACAACTTAATATTTCGTCCAGAAGAGAGGAAGATAGAAGATTACATAAAACTAACAGGCACGTGCTCATGGTACGAGAACTCTAGGGCGTGGGGCAATGGTTTTGAAGCATAGAAGCGTTTAAAAACAAAACTTTTTTTTTCAGAGAAAGTAATATAAGGATGGCTCACGCAGTGCTCCTTCGGACCTTATATAATATACGCCATGTACATTTCTCTGAGAGTTTTCCCTTAGATCATTCAATGATAGTGGTGCTGGCCAGATTTGGGGTACATGTACAGGCTTGACAGTGCAGAGGCAAGTGACCCCACAATTGTCGACCTCATAAGCAGGTTGCGTTTACGTAGCTTATAATTAATACATCTTCCTCTCTATCCCACGTAGGCTCTACCACATGTTAAGGGAATGGTGTATACCACGTGCGAGGTACAGGGCACAGAGTGTATAGATTGTTTCTTTTTACATCTCATTCCAGGTACTTTGTCCAAATTTAAGTGCACCTTGGAACAAATCTGTGTCATTTTTAGGCGTTAAAATAAAAACTGGAACTTAATATCTTTGGGCAACTTGTTTAAAGTTGTGCGATACCTTGTGCAAAATTCATACATACACAACGTATCGCACAACTTAAAACAAGTTGGTCCCTTACTTGCACAAGGTATCACACGCGCCTGTTGGTTTTGTCATATTCTTTCTTCTTCTCTTCTGGATAAAATATTGAGTTGTGAGTTAGTATGAGACTGTCCTGTCTCCTGTATTCTTCTACAGTTTGCTCACGTTGCTCGCTGACTTTAACCTGGTATAATGCTTACCGTATAGGCCAGCTCACCATCCTTCAACCGACGGGTCTGCTTACCTCGCCCTAAAAATGTAGTTTCTCGAATTACGCCTGATGACGTCATAAAAGTGTGGTGTTGATGCCGGCCCCGACATTGGCAGTGTCACAGCAGCGGTAATGAATTTGGCAAACGCCTGTTCTACCGCAGGTCGCTCTCTAGCTCGACAGTCCTCGGGAGCTTCGACAGTCAGGAGTTGGAACTCCGCGACGGCAGCGACACTCGCGTTCGCTCATACTTCCCACTGTGACGCCTACAACCAACCGCCAGGACCGCGACGTTCGTCAACAAGAGACAGCGGCTTCTGCGACGTCCTTTGTTGCATCTTCGGGATCTCTATTTGATGTGTTGGCGGGATGAGACGCTTAACACACTGCTAATCAGTAGAGAGTTTATGGGAACCATTTTTGCACATCCGATATGGTACGATGCGCCCTGTGAAAGGAACAGCACATGTGCGAGTGTTCTGCGGGAGCAAATGCACCGTTCGTACTGGAGATCCCATCATAGAGTGTCGGATGTGCAAAAACGGAAACTCCCTAATGACGCGTTCCGGGGAACCGGTGTCAGAACCACACCCGGCAACAGAAAAGAACTCTCGAATGCCGACGGTTGCTCCAACTTACCGAGGACGGTCAGGTTGACGAAGTAGCTTATCTTGGGGTCCGAGGAGACTTGGCACTCGTAGAGGCCTCCGTCGGAGAGCTGCACGTACTTGACCTGGAGCGCCCAGTCCGACGAACGCTCCAGGTGGACGGCCTGGAAGCGGTCGTCGGCCGTGTATGTGTCCAGGCCCACCGTGAGCACGTTGTAGTCGCGACGTCGGATCCAGAGCACCTGCAGTGTGGGAGCGGAAGATCGTTTTCATCGCTGATGTAACCAATGGAGTCACCTTCCGTAGGTCACGCGTCAAATCTGTTTATTGTTGGAGGAAAGTCACGGAATGTGAAATCCGGTGATGGGCACGATAATAGGGTTTATTACGGATAACGTCGTTTGAGATAAGGCAAGAATACATTATTTGCTTGTAATCGCGTTATGTGAACACATTTGTGAAACTAACATCCCCTAAATGAGGGGTCTCCAAACGTTTTCGAGAAAGGGGCCGGTTTGGGAACCTTTTGTAGTCTGCAAGGCCGAGAAACAAATAAGGCACATAAACGAGAACATTCTAAACATGTAAACATGAAAAGGCATTTAAATAACAAACTTAAAGTACATTACAAAGATTCAAAAACTTTAGGTAGATTATTACAAACACCAAACTTTTTTAGTTCAATATGTTGCTAATTATTACGTTACAAAACAAATAGAACACTCACAATGAATATATATTACAGTTCATAGGAATTTTGGCATTTTGAAGCAGGGAGGAAAACTAGTGGTGATGGAAGATCTAATAATAACAATGCGAAACAGTTATTACATAAGGAACTTAGCACAGAATACAGAAGAATAGAAAGAAATTTTTAGATAGCAGATATGAAGCAGGGGAATAAGTATACTAAGGCTGATGATAATAATGTACACAACATAATATGACAAAAGAACCATTGTTTTGGTGCAGTATTCTTATTTTTGATACCTCCGCTTTCAAATTTAATACACGCCACGTCGTCGTTTTTTGTGTGGTTTTTATAGCGTTTCTTTTTTGTTTTGGTGGCAGTGGTACGCGGGCCGGACGTCACTGGAAGGACCATGGTCATCCGAAGCCCGGCCAGCATGCCTCTGTGGGCTGGATCTGGCCCGCTTTAAATGATCAAAGCTGGACACGTTGTGATTAAAATAATAAAAAAATATAAAACCTTAGTGTATCTTCACCGGAATAATGTTGTAGAAAAATTGTTTTACAAGGACAGGCCAAAAGCATTATCAATGTGGCCCCTCAAAAGCGGGTTTTAAATGTATATTTGAATAATTAGAGGGCATGGCATTTCAGTCTGATTACTTGCCTCGGTTGTGTGCACTGAACCGCTGTTTGCGACCACACTGAGGACAACTATACTGGCCAACTCAAGCCATCTCTGGGGTACGTACGGTTAAAAGGTTTTCCTTCTTTTTTTTATGCTGTGCTGGTTCGGCGATTGTTGACGATTTCTTGATTTAGCTGCGGTGTTCTACAAAAAGAAAGTTTACAACAAAAAATATCTAATATAACTATAGGTGAGGCAGAGTACGTTGTGAACAATGGACCGGGAAAATTTAAAAAAGTAAAAGATACGTACATTAGGAGCTTCTATACTAGACAGGTTATTGTATAGGTTATGACAGTTTTGCCGACAGGCTCGGCTTCGCGAAGAGATAACATACATGTGAGGACATCGGACTACGCAGAGCAGTAAGCGGCCAATTGGGCTAAAAGGACGTGACTTCAGACAAAAAGAAAAAGCAAAAAAATATATAAAGTAAAGCGAAAATATGGAAGCAGAATCACGCGTTCAGTATAGAGGGAAAAAACTTGGCTTGAGCGCGCTCCCACGGGAGGGCGGCGGGATTCAATGATAAAAGGGCGTATAGGAGATCTTGGACACTGAGGTCGGTACAGTAGGTAATAAAAAGACGGCACAGGCTCTGGGACGACATCTTCAGTGCTAATTGCACGTACAGCTAAGACGATGTTGGCATCCGCTCTCTTTCGACAGCTGCACGTACAGCCTCCACTCAGGCGCGGCACGCAGCGGAAGAAAGGGGAGTAAGAAATGAATGGCTGGAAAGGAGGTGGAGGTTGCTATTCGATAGCTATCAAGACGTCGTCGTGCGCGACAGTGAATCAAAATACAAATTGAAAAGATAAATCATAAAAACACATACATATATATGCCTAGAGTCAAGACAAAGTAACATTGCGTGCAGCAGGGCTGTGGTGCCGCACACACAGATTTTCATCGTATTTCAATCAAAGATTGTAAGATTAAAGGTTCTCGCATATGAGTGGAGAAAATGAGCATAAATGGAAACAGTGGGTACGGAAGCGCGTGTGCACGGAATGTTCGCTGTTTCGTACACACACGAAATAGCGTGCCGTCCACACCCGCTTCTTTATGTAGCATAAAAGAAAGAACAGCTTCAAGTTGTTTCTTGAAACGAACAATTCGGACATTGCCCTTTCCTTCTATTCGATCGCTACCTCTTATCTCTGCGATTATTTTCCGTAATTGTTGGACCTCACTCTTATTTTTTGCTAAGTATTCTTTTTATTTTATTTTTAATTAAATAAATAACTAGCTACCGCTCACAACCCAAGTTCATCCGTTCCCGTCTATTGTCCTGCCCTCGGGTCACTTTTCTACAAACCCATTCGTCGAATTCCGGAAATCCACGAAAACCGTTAGGTTTTTGAACTGATGCAAAACTGAAAACAAAACGCAAAGAAGCTAGCGGGCAGTTAGATAGATATATAGATAGGCAAAGTGAGAGAGAGTGAGCTATAATTGAAAAACGAGTAGTTCAAGTAAGGGGAAAAGGAGGGTAGAAGGCAAGTGAAAACGAAAACACAACAAAAACAAGGAGCTTGAGCAAGTCCGCATACAGTCCCAGCTGCATCCTCCCTTCAATAAAGATCCGAGACGAGCGAACTCGTTGGCGGCTTCTGTCCGCTGGGGATTTGGAGAAGTTAAAAGTCTGCGCCGCGCCGCCTTTGTGAGCTGGCGATCTCCCGGGTGGGCCGGATTGCATAATAAGGGGGGGGGGGGGGGGGGGGGGAGGGTTGCCCCGGGCAACGGTTCCTCGCGAGCAGTCAACAGCAACAACAAGTGCAGAATGGCCGCGAGAGGACGGAGGTGCTCGCTTCGCGAAAAAGGGGGATAACTTTTGAACGGGGGAAGAAGCGGGCTTGGACGATGGAGTTTGACCTCGCCGCCGATAGTTGGTTCAGGAGAAAGTTTGTCGGCCGCGAGGAGATGGGCCGGAAGGGACGCAGAAGGGAGTTTAGGATGCGCACCGCCTCGTCGGCTCGCTTGCTTGTTGCTGTCGGTTGCTCGACTCGGTAACTGAGTTGTTTTTTTTTTTTGTTTTTTTATTGATACTAAAGCGAACGTGTGTTGTGAAGTTCAGAGAGCTGAAGACTGCACACGTGGACATGAGCAAACAAGTAGGGTACTTTTGATGTTTGTACCAATGTATTCTCGGTTTATATGTAATACGGAAAGAAGCTAGCAATGGGATGTCAGTTGATGCCTGTCTTCTTTGTGATTTGATTCACTATTTACTAGAGTAATCGACGCGCTGTTTATGAACAAGACCTGAAGGTAATATGGGCACATCATACATAGAGCCAGCCAAGGCGCAATTTTTCACTCCGCTACGGGGTGATCATGTGTAACAAAGACCACGTGACCACCTACGACACCTTGCTTTGTTTTAATGAGTTAGCATTAGTGCCCTGCACATGAGCTCACCCTGGACGGTTTAAAGAGTTTGGAGTATTCAAAGTTCGCAATGTCGCCACAGGATGGTGCCACGGCCTACTGCCTGTTGAAACTGGGTAGGAAACACCTTCTGTAAGCGCCGACAGAGGGCGGCGAGGAGCATTATTCGAGAGGTTAGGCAATAGGAGGCATATCAACGGAGGCTGCAATGGATTGCCTGGTATAGGGAGCGACGCCCTGACGTAACACCTAACAACCAAAGACCTACGGTGACGTCTCTCTTCGGAAATTTAGGCACCGCGCGTTGGGGGACGGTGGGTGTATCACTGGGGAACCTTTTAATCCCCTCCCCCCACCCCCATTCACGCCACTTTACGGTGACAGTCTGCGGATGGCTCTTTGCAAAATATTAACCCACCTTGGCCCACCCGTACTGGCTGCTTCGAGGAGCCCCGCAGGCGGCTCATCCTTAGCGCCCACTGTCCCCTACTGCATCTCAGTCGCTAGGTGTTACGTCACGCCGCCACTCACAATAACCAGCCAATCCTGTGCGGCCGCCGTTGCTATGCGTCCTATCGCCTAGCCTCTTGAAATAAGCGGCCGGGGTGCGGGTGCGCCCTTTGGAGGCCCTCGGAAGCTCCAGCCGCCGGCCTTAGGGACCTGTGAATGAACACGGGACGCTATTCCGTTCTTCAGCCTGCCACACCGTTTTTGACGCGAAGTCACCGTGCCACCGGGCCATAAGCGCGTGGTTTCATCGCCTCTCATGCACAACACGAATGTACAATAATGAAAAAGCTCTGCCGTTTTCGAGGGATCGCGCGCACGTCCTTCATGCACGTGCTTAGTGACCTGATCTGATTGCACCTTGAAGAATAGGGCTTTCGGGAATGTTCACGCCGCGGAAAAATTCTGAGAAGCTGCATTCACCATGCTTTGTTACAATAACCGTTGCGCGAAATTCGCACGTTCTTTTTTGAGAATCAGCTTGGCGGCAGCAGCAATTTCGGCCCCATTCTTTTTTTTTCTGTTAGAAGTTGGAATCTGGGTAGCGCACTCAAATAAAACATGTCCAGTACTTGTTCAATCGCCGGCGAAGCACTAAAATCTTCCTTTGTGATCGCGGGTCACACGCGCATTTGTTTAACACATATATATGCCAGTTTGTTTGTTTTTTAAACAACTTGAGACGGCGGAGAGCTAGAAGTCAAAGAAAAAGGAACAGAATGACAAAAGGCAACATCTGAAACTCAGCTGACTTTAGGAGGTATTTATGTCAGGTACGTCTTTTGTGTGTGCATGTGTTCTAACTTGTGGGTGGGTATTTTATCGGTCGTGGTTGGTTGGCGACTTCGAGAGTGTTGTGTATAAAAAGAGGCCACTGAATAAGCAGGTCAGCTGAGTTTGAAACGTCGCCTTCTATCATTCTGTTAATTGCTCTTTCACTTCAGATTCCTCTCGTTCTCCACT